ATTTAATGGGACATGCTTTCATTTCACCATCTCATAAAAGAAAGTGAAAGTGCTTTGAGAAGTTTCAGTATTTGTTATACAATGACAGCATTATATTATAAATAAAAGTATTTGTAAAAAAACACAGATTGTTGTTGTTGTAATTGATAAAATTTGTGTAATTGCTTTTAAGTCTGATATGAAACTTGTCCAGAGCTCTTTATACTCCAGGCAGATATTTGGGTATGAGAAATGGGGGCAAGACAGAAGCAGAGAGAGGTAAGGCAAGCTGCAAACCATTTCAAGCCCTACTGTGGGCTGTGCTGAAAGTCCTAGACGTGTGTGGATTGGAACTAATGTGAAGATTAACTTTTACAATTTTATTATCTTTTTAAAACAGATTTCTGCTTAGCTGATTTACCAAAGTCAAGAGGGCTAATTTCTCTACGTGCTGGGTGCTGTCCTCTGCAAGTCCACTGGACCTCCACCCCAGACGTTACTCTGGGGTCCACCTGAGGCTAGCAGTGTGAAAATGACCAGTACCTTCCTAGCATGACGACCTTTGACCATGTGATTGCTACCCACCAATCGGAGTGGGTCTCCTTCACTGAGGAGCCACCCTGTCCTCTCTCTTCTGAGGGTAAGATTGCCAGAAAACTATACCTGTTTGTTAGGGCTTTTAATTAGTCATTGTGTTGGATCTTCTTATTTAAAAAAAAAAAAAAGTTAGTTTGTCATTTTCTTGAGATGCATGAATTCTTCTCCTTAGAAGCCAGGAGGACATAACTTAGGAACTTTAGGAACATGAGCAAGAACTTAGAAATGCTGAAAGTGTTGGCCTTTTACTCCCAAGAAATAAAAGCTTAATATTTACAAAGGACTTTATTCTCAGCCCTTTTGGTTGTTACTCTGAAGAGCAGTTTGGATTTTCTCAATTTTTAAAGCCTAGTTCTTAGCCAGGGTTCTAATCCTGGCTTCATCACACATGTGTCAGTTGCTCCCAGGTGGTGGTGGTGGTGTTAGATGCTGTCAAGTTGGTTCTGACTTGTAGTGATCCTGTGCACAACAGAACAAAACACTGCTGGTCCTGCACCATCCTCATAATCATTGCTATGCTTGATCCACTGTGGCAGCCACTGTGTCAGTCCACCTCATTGAGGGTCTTTCCCTTATTTGTTGACCCTCTATTTTACTCAGCACGATATCTTTCGCCAGGAACTGGCCCCTTCTGACCAAAGTATGTGAGACGAAGTCTCTAAGGAGTAGTCTGGCTGCATCTGTTCCAAGTCAGATTTGTTCATCTTTCCGGCAGTCCATGGTGTTTTCAGTATTCTATGCCAGTTGTTGTTGTTTGTTGTTAGGTACCATCAATTTGGCTCCAACTCTTAGTGACCCTGTGTACAACAGAACAAAACACTGTCCAGTCCTGTGCCAGCCTCACAATCCTTGCTATACTTGACCCCATCATTGTAACCAGTGTGTCAG